TGCAGCTCAAAAACACGGCACAGCTTTAACTGCAGTGGAGGGCCGAGGGGTTAATGGCGAAGTCCGAGCTCTCTCTCAGGAGAAACAATTGGAACGGAAATGAAGAAAAAGAACGGCAGTGAAACATCCTTATCAGTTGTAGAGTTAAATTAAATATAATATATATACGTACGTACGCACGCGACGTGCTAGTGCGCATGAAATACTATACTCTCTACGCATTTTGGTGATAAAATTAAAATAGAATTGTCAGCACTTTGAAAAGCCGCGCACGGTACCTCTTGTTCCGCGGGAACACTCTGTGTACGTGATTCCTCAACCAGAGCTTTAAGAGCTCGTAGGGTGGGGTAGGTAGGGATTCCATGAGTGATTGTGTGTGTATTAATTGTAGGTCGACCTCCACTCGATGTGATAAAGCGTTGTTTTAAGCGTTTAAGTTAAGGAACATTTGGTGATATCTGATTGTTTCTTCTTCTCCATTCAAAGAAAACATTATTTTCTAATCATTTGAATTAAAAGGACAACATATACACAACCTCTTAAAAATGTCGATGAATTAAAATACAAAATATGTACATCAAAATATTACAAAACATAATGGATTAATCAGTTATAAGCAAATTCAATAGTGCTGGGATCATATGACAGTCATTTATTTCCCAGACCCACGTCAATTGCAATCTGAAACTGTTCTAGACACTCGATAACAACTTCACTATCTCTTCGACGTCAGTTCATGTCAACTTTAAGATTCTCTCTTCGCCAGGCAGTAATAAGTTGGATAGAGTAGCAGTAAACAAGTCACGTGAGCTAAAAGAACAACTCTGATAATTAAGCTTCAGTTGGCCTGGGTTCTACTTAAATCCTCTCCAGAGACTCGGGCCTCCAGATACTCTATCTTCCGTTCCAGTGTCGTTAACTTCTCGTTCAACTGAGCTAAACGCGATCTGAAAAATATTAGATGTAAAAACAAGGTTATAGACAGCCAAGTACCGCGATCAATGTAGGAATGTTTGATATTTCGAGTTATTCGCTGACCGACTCCTTTAGACCATGGAGAACGTGCATGACTTGAGATTGATACATTTTGGGGTCGGGTAACACTACATGATGCTAAGTAGACATATGGCCATCATCGCCTAGTATTTTATACACAGCACTAAACAAAGCAGAGACTTGCACAATTTGCTGAACACGTGATCTCACCGCTTTGTAAATAATGAGGCATTACACTTACAATATTACCATCATATGCATGTGAGGTGGCCTGGTATTTATATACGTTTATAGTCTAATATCTCCTTAATGATGAGTAGCCCCTGTGAGCACTTCATTTAGCCATTTTACGGGATAACCCTACCATTATTATCACCTGTACGTGATTTATAATCATCTGAACAGGCATGACACACAGAACATAAACAGGTCTGTTACACACAAGATGGAATGTGCGAGCGCTAAGCAAGCCGCATCCTTCAGCTCAATAGTCACATACAGGCTAAACGTTCCTCGAATTCCAGTTTCTTATCCATTCCAGAACTAACATAATTGCGGTCGTGATAAACCAACTGGACACTCAGCCGGTTATCTGGTATGGCTATCTTATTACACATGCAACAATAGGGCATCCTGGTTATTTATAGATAGCCAGCTAACTGAATTACCTTTTACTCGGATAGTCCACTAGGTAGTTCCTCCTGAACACTGTGTTACACACACCTGGCCCCCCGCTTATCAGACGCTATTTTAACTTTATATCCACTTTATAAAGTCAGTGTGCGTAACAACTGAGGGTCATGTTCCACGATGTTGAAGCGAGCAGCTGTGGTAACCAATTAGGGGAGGGAGGGAGCATCTAATCTTAAAGTTTTAACTGTAGTGGTCTGGTTTCGGAGAACTTCCAGAGGACCATTATTTAAGAGCACACAAACTTGCCCGGCATGTCTACATTTAACTAACATTATACTCGATAATTAGGCCGTTCTTTATATTAGACCATTCTTTAACTCTCTCTCTCTCATTTGTTTTCTCTCCTCCTTACAACTTACACCTGGTTAGACACGTACACTCCTTACAACACGGTTAAATATTGGAAATACCACTTCCGACTCACTGATAGCAGCACTCTCACATAATCAATACATGAAACGTGTAAAGGTGTAAATTAAGGGCAGCGACAGTACAACTTCTTATCCTAGTACAATGTTCTAGAACTTTCTATCTTACGTGGTAGGTTGGTAGTGTCAGCACTCTTCTCTCAAGGAAATACCAAATAACACGTACCTACTCACATAGTATGCTAACTGTTCTAGCTGCAGAGGTAATAAGCAGAATGTCTGAGATATTTGGCATAATTTCTCCGCGAGTTTACGATAATTTTCACATTATAACATTCCATCACGCAGAGGAACGTAAATAACAGATCATCCATGTAAACACAGTCATGCAATGTAAACAGTCATGTAAACAGTCACCTGAACAATCATTTCAACTGTTTAGTTTATCTGTCATGTGATAATCTTGTAACAAGCTTTATTCCTGGTACGTGTATCGTTATGTATGTGATGAGGACAAGGTCAGTAAGTGTTGAGGGAGCCAGCTTGTGTAATTTATGTGAAACACTAAACGGTAACGAGATATTATTTTTGTGCATTTAACTGTCATTAGTATCATCGTTTATTAACTTTTCGAGGTTCTGAGAAACTAAAGATTGCTAAGAGAATGACCTGTATTTATTCAATTTTGTAAGAATACAAAATAAATGACCTGTATTTATTCGATTTCGTAAGAAATTAATCCGATAGCATAGTAAGTAAATACTGCAGAAAGAAGCACACAAACCTGGCGCTCATGTCGAAGTTGTTGAGAAAGTGGGCTATTCTCATGATACTGGTTGTTATGACTTGTATCAACTCTCGGTTATCCCAATCTGCCTGAATCTGATCCTGCACTGTCACTATACCCGACATACCTACTGGATTAACCATTTAAAAATTTAAAAGATAACATAACTTACTAATAATCAGTACACCCTTTGAGAACATTTAATAATTTGAATCACGAGGCTGATTTGCTCTCTCTCTCTCTCTCTCTCTCTCTCTCTCTCTCTCTCTCTCTCTCTCTCTCTCTCTCTCTCTCTCTCTCTCTCTCTCTCTCTCTCTCTCTCTCTCTCTCTCTCTCTCTCTCTCTCTCTCTCTCTCTCTCTCTCTCTCTCTCTCTCTCTCTCTCTCTCTCTCTCTCTCTCTCTCTCTCTCTCTCTCTCTCTCTCTCTCTCTCTCTCTCTCTCTCTCTCTCTCTCTCTCCTCTCTCTCTCTCTCTCTCTCTCTCTCTCTCTCTCTCTCTCTCTCTCTCTCTCTCTCTCTCTCTCTCTCTCTCTCTCTCTCTCTCTCTCTCTCTCTCTCTCTCTCTCTCTCTCTCTCTCTCTCTCTCTCTCTCTCTCTCTCTCTCTCTCTCTCTCTCTCTCTCTCTCTCTCTCTCTCTCTCTCTCTCTCTCTCTCTCTCTCTCTCTCTCTCTCTCTCTCTCTCTCTCTCTCTCTCTCTCTCTCTCTCTCTCTCTCTCTCTCTCTCTCTCTCTCTCTCTCTCTCTCTCTCTCTCTCTCTCTCTCTCTCTCTCTCTCTCTCTCTCTCTCTCTCTCTCTCTCTCTCCGAATGAGATGTAATTATGAGTTGTGATGTATGACCGGCGGATCTTTGTAATAACTTACCTAAACTTGCTAAAACTTAGTACTTGATCAAATAACGCAAAATTCGATGTGGTGTTAGCCAGCACTAATGACGGTTGATAGAAAAACGACAAATGTTGCACTGCACCATGTTTACCGGTACCGTTTACAGATGCTCCACTGCTCAGAGACAATACGTTATTTCATGATATTCCAAAATGCTCGCGTTTAATGTTCCCAACGTAACTTCCACACATTCCAAGCATTACTTTATGCGGACAAGCACGACAGAAATATTCCAAGAACTGGAAACATAATTCAATTGAGCGCCCCCATTCCTTATAATAATACAGCTCCTCGCCATACCCGAGCAATTAGCAGGCAACACCTGCTTTACTGTGTAAAATTGCAGGTGCACTGTTAACAGGAGGTGGAGGCGGCGGCACAGGGGGGCCACCATCTTACACACAAACTAACATTTGGTTCTCTCTCTTTCTCATCAAAACAACTCGAGGTCGTTGCTCCATGTGGTGGCTGTTAACAAACAATGTACGGTTATAGTGGGAGGCGGGAGTAGCTTTGTGAGGAGCGACCTGAGTGTGTAGACTACAGTAACTATTACACTTAGTCTCTCTCGATAATATAAATAGACTGCCTTGTTGATCAGACTACTAAACTAGCAGCGGCTCATTGATCAAGCAAACATTGTTGTGATGGACTGTGGGTGATGGAATTAGTTTATATAAGCAGTAATTAAAGAAGACCTTACGGAACATGAAGGATATAGCAAGCTACATTTTCAAGCTAAATGACAATGTAGCTGCAACAGCCTTTGTCACGAGTGGGTGTTTTTCTTGGAATTATATCGTCCTTTTCTGAGAAACCCTTACATTCCCATACTCTTATTAAATCTGTCTGAGGAGGGAGGTAGAATCAGGTAGATGTGCAAATACACCAGGGAACTAAGTACAGGTGCAATTATGAAACATCCTGCATAAAGCTGGGATATATTCAGCTAACTCCGAATAGTTAAGTGTGTACCGTAATATTTTATTATCCACTCACAGAGGTCGGACAATGATATTACACGTACATGGAGTACACACGCAGATAAAATACTGTGCTCAGTTTGTAAGTGTGTGTGGGTGTATTGTGTGTAAACCATTATAATGTGCAGCTATATGAAATGTTTAGTAGAGATTAGCCATCCTTCGACCATATAGTATGTCGGATTATTGTGGTAATACGAGCCGTTTTATTACTAGGTAACAGTGTAGTAAAACGACTTTTTTTTGTACAAATATTATGATGCCAGTGACACATATCAAATTCAGTTAATATATTATTTAAAGTAACAATCATCACATTATTATTATAAGGTAAATTTATAATTCATTCGTTAGAGCTTCTCTCAACTCTGCGTACAAAAACCAACATTAATCACATCAAAAGTTCCTATTATATACATAACCTTGTACATTTAGAGTACAATTAGAGTACAACTTTTATATGTTTAACCAGAATGTCAAAGAACATTCAAAAACTCTTTACAAGATAACTGCTCGACAGGCATCTTAAGCCTGCGAGATAAAATGAAAAACAAACCGTTCAAAATAAAACTCCGATTTGTTAAACTCTAAACATCTGATATAAAACCAAAAGAGCACCCAGGATGGGGTAGTACTCAAGGGAAATGTAGGACAATCGGTTGTGAATATTTTGGGAAATTCATCCGGATGACAGGTCATCAATCGACAGATCGTTCAAAAAATCCTCAATTTCTTTCACATCTTGCTCGACTTCAGCAGGGTTCACCACAGAACTCTGAGATTCAGACTCAGAGAAGAGTTTTAACTTGGGCACGCTAGCACAGTCCCTGAAAAAGGCCCCTACGTCCTCTGGGGAATTAGAAGCAAACGGAGCTATAAGAACAAAACTGTCGGAAGTCATGACGTCTACTTTCTGGAGTTCTTGTATTCGAGGAGAGCCAAATAGACAAGGGGTAGGAGTGGTTGTAGATATTGTGAGAGGACTGCTGGGAACGTCCTCTGACTGTCCCGGAGAGTTTCCGAACACTGCAGATGGTTCAGTAGACGTGGTCTGAGAAAACGGAAACGCAGATTCTAGCAGAGAGGCGAATGGTGTCTCCTTCTCCGAGATTAAGTTATTGGAGGTAGAATCTGACAACTGAGGCAGGGTGGTGTCGGCGAATGGACAGAAGGGGAGAGAGTCAGACTCTATTGACCTGGTGGTATCAGTTATCTGCTCCAAACTAGGCGAGGGCCGCTCCGGAGACCTGTTGGGTGGGGAGGAGGGTATCTCAAGTGTGGTTCTGTAGAACACGCTGGTGGTCAGAGTTCCGGAGGGAGTGGCCACAACTCCGATACGTTCTGATTTCACACTGTCTCCCAACTCGCCGACCCTGGCCTCGTCAGTGCTGATCTGGTATGTAACGTAGAAGAAGCCCCCGGTAGTTTGCTTGCGAGTAAGCTTGTAGGTGGGGGTGGCACGTGATGCTACCACCACACTACGCAACAGTAGACACAGTGCATTGTACACGGTAAATGTCACCTTCACTTGCTCGTACTTCCGCTCCAAAGAAAACGTCCAAATTTCCAGGGTCATGATTTCATTGTCTGGAGAATGAAGCTGAACGGTCAAGTTAATAGTTTTCCCGTGTAATAAATCACTGACATTAACCTTCTGTTTACAATCCTCGGCTACACTTGAACTATCAGCGATTGCAATGTTAAACCAGCTCGGGGACCTGGAACTGGAGTCAGTGGAGATGGTCGTGCCATTGCGAGAACATATTATTGTCTGGATGGACTTGAAACAAAACTGTTTTAAGTAAACCTCTAGATCTTTCTTGTCTTTGCTGTTCAGGGGGTAGGGGCTGGTCATGAAGAGTGAAGAAGACCCAGATATTTACTGCTCTCGACCATCCTCTACATACCAATAATGTTTCCTGTAAAAGTTGAACGTGAAAGGAATTCAATATCTTGGAAATTGTTCATGGGGGAATTTTAAAACTTTACTATCAAATAAATTGAATGAACATGCAGTAAAACTTTCAATGTCATTGCGTAAAAACAAACAATATAGTTTATCAGATCAATTGGAATACAGCACAAAGGTGTCTGAATGTAGACAGTAGAATTAATCCTGACGCGATATCATAGTACTAGTTTTTAACACATCAAAGATCTAGTGATCGGAAATAGAAAGTAAATGATGAATCAGTTTAAAATTAAATAGAAAAAAACACTAAAACAGCCGAGCCCAATAAAAATGTGGAGTAACCAGAAAATAGATACAATTTAACACAAATACATCAAAATACAAAACCGACAAGGCAAGGCAAATCAATTAATTATTACCTCGGTAAACGACGCGTTTATTAGCCAAACAGTGCTACTAAAATATCACTTAGTCATAATTTAATAAAAATTAACATTATCATAGTCATGACTATTTCCCTTTAAATCTAAATGCGGTATTAAAAATAAATTATTCAAGTTTTTCTGTCAAATTAATAAAATAGAACATCAAGAAGTGGAAATCATCACCACGACAGAGTTTGAGGTGGATGATGCTTACGAGGGAGATTTTAAGGTTAACTGAGAGATGCTGAGATTACATCGGACCCAGGATCAGCAGATTTTAGGGCAGCATGAAATAATTTTTTACAAGTACTTCGTATAATAAAGCTGTTGCTTTAACGTTCTCTTCAGTCTAAAATCGTACACTCCCCTACAAAAATATATACTGTCACAGGGAGCAACAGCTGAAGGAATGACCTGGTCCCGCCATTTTATAACATTCGGCACAACCTTGCACTGGGAAATATTCCGTTCTGTCTGTGCTTGGTGAGCATAAAACCTACAATATTCTGGAAAGCTGAGGACGTAGACTTTGTTCTGGATTGTTGCGGCGCTGTTATCGTCCGTATGTTTGGAGAGGTAAAGTTCATGGGACCCGTACGGAGACTTGATGTTCTCCAGGTCTGAAGGTCGGTAAAACCAGCACAATGTTACCATCATCTCGCCCAGGTTCTCCTGCCACATGGCTATTATCTTACCAATAAAAGGTTTCTTGTCCTGATCACTAGCTTGCAATGCCACACTGTCTCCCACTCTCAATTCCACCCCGTCCCGTTCCATAGCGCTAAAATAAAGTCTCGTAGTCTTGATATTAGTTTCTCTGAAAAAAGAACAGCACCACACCTGACTGCCCTTCCAGGTCCAGCCGTTCGTCTTTACACTGGCTTGGTCCACCCCAGCAAGAATTCGAGCTTCGTGAGCTTTAAGGGAATTTGGAGAATCGACAATTTTTGACGACAAACCGTTGTTGACATACTCAACCTTTTGACTGAAAGATGGGGTTACCTGAATTTTAAAGAAATTTTCAGGTTCACCCTCGAGTTTGACTTGTTTTGTTTTAGGACTGGAAACAAACTTGGGCGGAGACTTTCTTAAAGCTTTTCGCGAAGGCTCCGGCTTAATGAGAGCAGAAAGGACGGCCCTACAATTCAAACTGGCAGTCCTACCTCTCCTTTTGGCAGGCACTGCTATCTGATCTGAGCTTACAGAGCTGACTGGACTGACTGGGGACTCAGATCTCGAACAAGCGGGAGAGTCCTTGGAGGAATTCGGGGATTGGTTCATGTTCAAAGCATCCAACCAAGTTGCAGAGAAGTCATAATCTTCATTATTCTGGGTGGGTAGAAGGGAGAGCCGTTTCCGCTTCCTTTTTGCTGGAAGATTTAGTGATTTGGGTCTAGGAGCTGTGAAACCAATGCTGTTATTCGATCCAGGAAACATGAAGGCCGAATAATCTGGGTTTGGAGGACCAACTTTGATTTTCTTAAAACTCTTTGAGGGGGATATAATGTCAGCATCTTCTTGCTCTACCTTAATAGTGACATTTTCAAGTCCTGGGATTACAGGAACAGACGGAACGTCTTCTTTTGGAGTTGTGTATTCTTGCCTTGTTCTTCCAGATCTGGTAATCATCTGTTTGATTGCTTCAACTCGGTCTAATTTTTCTTGAATCGTTTTTGCTTTTCTGCCTGATCGTTTAGAAGATTTCCAGGAAAATTCATACGTAGCCCCACTCCTTGTACATAATTTTCCGGGACCAGCTTTGAATTTCGGCTGTTTCAAGAGCTCAACCTTTTCCAGCTGAATCTTCTCTTCTGGGGTAAGACTCTCAGCTTCTGAATCCTCGCTCTCAGAAGACGAAGATTTCCTCAGAACAGGAGCTGATTGCCTTTTCCTAACTTTTGGTGGAAGTTCTGCCATCTCAATAATTCCAACATCTGATCTTGATCTCGCACTCCTAGTTATTATGCGCCTACTAACTGCTGTACTGTCTGCTTCAGTTGGGGTCGATTTACTGTCCTGTGTATCATCGTCACTCTTCTCCATTTGATCTAACTTCTGAGCTTCATGGGTATCTTCATTCTTCTCTTTAAGATCTAACTTCGGAGATTTGTTGGAATCTGTACAATCGTCAACGGCTTCAGATTGAGATTTTTCGTCAACTGCCTTATCTTCTTCTTCAGAAGCAGCATCTCCACAGCTAGAATGTTCACCGTCAGAAGGGGAGGACTTATCAAGTACAATCGACTTACCAGACCTCAGAACACGGGGCATTTTCATGGCAACTTTGGCGGTGCTTTCGTCACTGAAAACGTCGTTTCCCGATGTCAACAGATCTCTTGTTTTCGAGGAGGTCGGACTTGTGTGGGAAGTTACAGCAGCATTCTCACAGAGGTCACTGTACTCAATACCCTGGGGAAAGTTATGCATTAACCAGTATATTTCATCTTCTTGTCGTTTTGCTACTCTTTTACTTTTTCTGCTTAGCAGTGGCTTCTTTGTCATTACCTATAATGAATTGAACGTGTAAATTGATTAACCATTGCATATAAGCGTTTTACACAGATAGATGTTTCACAATTCATTACAATTTTCTTGGCTAGAGCTAGAAGTATTTCTAGTTTCAAGATACTTACACTATATAAATCAATATTTGTTGTCTAACGGCCAAGGGAGCAGTAAAACATGATTTGAAAAAGTAATAAATTAAAACTATTTTACGCTATATAAAGTGTAAAAATGCACGATAATACTTTAAAACAATGTGTTTAATTCCTTCCCGATCTTTCACATAATTCGACATCACCCCGCTAATTACAGAAACTGTGCCTAGTCAAACCAAAGGCACATATAATGAGTACACACACTACACAAAGTGGATATGTACATGTTATATATTATGAGGAAAATGACGATAATGTGAAGGATCCTTATTATAATTCAACAAATAGAACTAAGTTGAAGCCTTATACACAGCATAAAAGTGGTTCATTTCAAAGCACGAGCTTTAAATGACAGTTAATCAGAAGGTATCTTATATAAAAGCTGTATTTTGTACATAAAAATTGTAAGTTTCAAAACTAAAAGGAACAATAAATTAAATTTGTGTCCACTTTTGTATGAAAATGTTGTCAGCACAATAGTAAGCAACAGCCAGATGTGGACATTGTTAATGTATCACTTGTTATCTTCAGAGTAAGAGTAAACCTGGCCTGCCATAGTGCCATGGTGGTCAATGCGGGTCAATGTTCTCTTTCCATAGGCATAATAATCAACAGAGCAGATGTTGCTTATCACACTTTATATCCGTGTTTGAGCATGCAGGCTCTGTGAGCCTCGATCAAGTCCTGGCAATTCTCCTCTCCGTTTTCTATGACACACTCGTCCCGCGGAACCCTCGTCTCCGGACAGGCGCAACATGGCTTGCATTTGGGTTCAGCTGCTTGCTCTGCTTCAGTCATACTTTGATATCTACATTAGAATTAGAATTAGAAACAAATTTACACAGCAAATTAAACGCCTATTATTGCTAATTAATTTTAAGATGCTGGTGAAGCTTTGTTAAGGACATTTAAATTAGTTCTCCGACCTGTTAAAAAGTACACCACTAAGGCTGTCAATAAGATTAGTAGAAAGTTAATTAATTAATGTAGTAAATTTGTTAAACTTATTACTTTACTTAACTATCAGATTGTTAACTAAATTAGAAGCCATGCCTGGTCTATATTAATATCCATTATCCATGTACTGATTCACTGACATAATATCAACATGGTACTTGAAAGTGTATTAGATAGGCGCCACCATGTGGACTGTGGAGATGGGTCTGCCGTCCGTGACCACAAGTTGATTGAATGATCTGGATTTTAACTTTCATTATATATATGGATTTTGAAATCAATGAAACAGTCATTTACATTCAATTTCAAAGTGTAAAACATTTCAAACTTAGACTTTCACCTCTGCTCAAAAAGGAATCTATTTTCAAAGCTTTTAAATGTTCTCACGGCAAGATTTAAAACCATATAAAATTACTACTACATATTATGACGATTTAATCAAAAATCATTGATACAATTTGAAATTTCTGACAATTAATATCATTTAATAGCACTACTAAGAGTTACAAAATTGTAATAATGACATAAAATATACTAGATTGTATTCAATAGGTCAAAAATATCACTGTTAACTGAACCACATTTACTACGACTCCAAATGTTACAATTATGAATGAAAATGAAAGTATAGCATATCAATGAAAATATCAAAATAGGGTCATCTTTAAACTTAGTCACTAAAATTGAAATCATAAGGTCAGTATTAAAATAAAGATCACCCCTAAACACCCCTACTCAAAACACATCGATCCAAGCTATATCATAACGATCTTTAAACGTTGACGAACTATCAAATTTTGATTAATCCACAATTCAATTGTGTCAATATCACATTTCAATTTAGAAACTGTAAATGAAGTCATCAACACTTATTAATCAGGGCATTAAGGAAACTTCTGATATCTTTATTCTTTAACCTAATTAAGGTCAATCAGTAAGATTTATTATTTGGAGTGTTGAAGATTATACTTGTACTATACTGTGGACTGAGTCTCTAAAATCTACTAATTCGAAGCTATGTATGTAAATAATTATATCCAAGAGAGTGCCGGATGCATTTAACTAAAAACAGATTCTCAAGTGCATCACCAGAAATACTACTTTTCTTCAGCAATAGCCAAACAGCGAGTCGTACTACAGTCAAAATTGTTTAATTTAAAGACAAAACCATAGTTATATAAGTTAATATTCCACTGCCAGTTGCGGGTTGCATTGTTAAAAATCAACATTTCAAAATTTCATTAAACAAATTTGTATAGTCTGGACCCGGTCAGCCAATTCTTGGTTTAAAACCACTAAGTGCTCACCAAAAATACTACATATATAATAAACATTCTGCAACAGTCCCTAAAAACGAGACCAAAGATTTAAAGGTATTTCAATTAACATGTCACGTCAGTTGAAAGAACCAAAACCGTTCACTAATCACTCACTACAGAAAACAGCATTCGAAATCTAGAATTTGCCGATTAAGGAACGTTGCTATTTAGTGTTTATATACTCCAATATCATGAATAATCCTTTAAAAATGAAAAGAAGCAATCCACTATCACTATTATGCCAATCATGTCTGATTGAAATAATCGACAACCAATAAAAGCCTAAATCAAGCATTTCAGTGCACATTGACAATTTAGAATGTTTCGAAATTCACGACTTAAAATCCAAGTCCCAACAATACCCAGCATCGGGAAGCAAGCAGATATACTCTTAGGGTAGCTAAATACTGCATTCAGAAATTGTAACACTCCTACGTGGTCAAACGGTGCAGAAATTGTCCATTGTAAACTATCCAAACTATCATAATAAAAGCCTCACAGTAACTCGATGTTCTGAAAGATGGAGCACAAAGCACAAATTGTAGTGCTTCGGAGTCCTTTATTTAATTAGATATCAATAAACGTAGGTACTGTGTTCACCTTGTGAACACTGTATTTTATTTTTATGTTTATCTTTTCAACCTCAAGTCCAGCTCTGGAAGTGGCCTCCGAACTAGTAGCAAAATATAGTTTATCGTCAATAAATTACACTCCCATTTTCTCCATATCCTCGGGAATAACTTCTCCCTCAACTTTTGAAGCAGGCACTTCTGCTGGTTCTTCTGCAGCTGGGGCTGATTCTTCTGCAGCTGGGGCTGGCTCTTCAGCAGCTGGGGCTGGCTCTTCAGCAGCTGGAGCTGGCTCTTCAGCAGCTGGGGCTGGCTCCTCTGCTGCTGGCTCTTCGGCAGCTGGGGCTGGCTCCTCTGCAGCTGGCTCTTCGGCAGCTGGGGCTGGCTCTTCTGCTGCTGGCTCTTCGGCAGCTGGCTCTTCAGCAGCTGGTGCTGGCTCTTCAGCAGCTGGCTCTTCGGCAGCTGGGGCTGGCTCTTCTACAGCTGACTCTTCAGCAGCTGGGGCTGGCTCTTCAGCAGCTGGCTCTTCAGCAGCTGGCTCTTCAGTAGCTGGCTCTTCAGCAGCTGGCTCTTCAGCAGCTGGCTCTTCAGCAGCTGGGGCTGGTTCTTCAGCAGCTGGGGCTGGTTCTTCAGCAGCTGGGGCTGGCTCTTCAGCAGCTGGGGCTGGCTCCTCTGAAGCTGGCTCTTCAGCAGCTGGGGCTGGCTCTTCGGCTGCAGGTTCTTCGGCAGCTGGTGCTGGTTCCTCAGCAGCTGGCTCTTCAGCAGCTGGGGCTGGCTCTTCAGCAGCTGGGGCTGGCTCTTCAGCAGCAGCGGCTGGCTCTTCAGCAGTAGCAGCTGGCTCCTCAGCAGCAGCGGCTGGCTCTTCAGCAGCAGCGGCTGGCTCTTCAGCAGCAGCGGCTGGCTCTTCAGCAGCAGCGGCTGGCTCTTCAGCAGCAGCAGCTGGCTCTTCAGCAGCTGGGGCTGGCTCTTCAGCTGCAGGTGCAGGCTCTTCAGCTGCAGGTGCTACTGGTTCAGGAGCCTTTTCAGGTTCAGGAGCAACCTCTTCTTTGTTTTTCTGAAATTGTAATATTACAATACATACTCAAGTAGCATAAATTACAGGCAATTGGCACACTGCGATAACAGGCATCCCATTGCTACGAAACTACAGACATCGAATCATCAATTATGAAATTAGAGGTGTAATTTAATAAATATTACAGATAATTACTAATTAGACTAAAACAAGGTTAACAAAGTTAAATTTGTGAAATATCTATCATTTATGACAAATGGAGCTTACCGGGGTGGAGCTTTTGTTTCCCATCTCAAAAAGTGGCTTTTAAATCCTAATAAGGTAACATTGGTAAGAGATTATTATTATTAAATCTAAAATTCTAAAATAGCTAATAAGAGAAGTTTCTGTACTAGTATATCTAAATTGGAAGAATTATTTCACAAAAATCAATCATGTCAAATTATGTCAATGGAGTAATATAAAAAGAAGAAAGTCTAATATAAAGTCCAATTGGTAATTCATGAATCTTAAGAGGGCATTATTTCAACCTTAGTTTCTTTATAAATAAATAAATAAATAAATAAATAAATAAATAAATAAATAAATAAATAAATAAATAAATAAATAAATAAATAAATAAATAAATAAATAAATAAATAAATAAATAAATAAATAAATAAATAAATAAATAAATAAATAAATAAATAAATAAATAAATAAATAAATAAATAAATAAATAAATAAATAAATAAAGTCAATTTTTACAGCACAGCAATATATATCTAAATATCAGATCCTCTGTAATCATAATGTATAAAAAAAGGAGCTTTTCTCTGTGCTGAAGGATGAATCAAGGCAGATCATGGTTCTGTTAGCAGGCCACCCTAGTTATGGACAATACATATATATAAAATAATTAAATTATAATTTTAAAATTGTGTCAAGATTGAACTAAAACATAACTCAGGGTAAAATAGACGTATTCCCTTCGTCAAATTAACTATTTACAATACTAAACTTAAACGAACTCCGGGTAAAATAAACGTAATCCCTTTGTCAAACTTGCTATTTACAATAAGTTAATAAATTAATACGGTTGAAAATTATTTCATATTCAATAACAATGCAGCATCAATATAATTGATACAAATGAGGAGCATACATAGCAGTGAGAATTGCACATAACAGGAGGACTGGAGGTATGGAGCAATAATGATTGACAGTGCACCTTTCCACTGATGTTCCTAATTTCCTGTAATAGCTTAATAGGCATGGAAATACTTTGATTGCAGGGGATGGATTGGATTCACTTATGTACTGAGATAACTTAACCGAAATAACATAACTGCCTAGATACATTGGCTAGTGTTGGGTGGGATCATGAATTTATATAATGGGTACTTGTTGTTTGTAGTGCAGTGGTGCAACAGACTTTAAGAGTTGACCATCAATTAGGAGACTGCATAAAAGTCCTTGGCGCACCATATGGGATTGTTGGCAAGAGCCAGTCTCCAACCCATAATCTTCGATTAAGTCCCTTTAAGTGACAACTGCAACTTGACCACCAAAGATCTTTAGGCAGGGTCCCTCCTCATTGAGGGGTGGCCAAGTGGTTAGGTTACATCATTTTCAATCACCTTGGCCTTGGTTGCTTACGGATGGTCGGGAAATCCGAAATTAAGGTTTACAGGAGGGTCCCAGCCAAAAGATCTAGTGTCTCGTATGGGTATCTCTTAGTAATTAATATGCTTGCACTGTAGTATAAGGCGTAAGCCATAGAAAGTAGTGCTACTGCTACTGATTTAACCAAGTGCAGGAAACTGCTAGGTCCTTACACCCCTAGGGTTGATGGTTGATGTGGGTATCAAACCAGCAGTCCCTTTCATCTGAAAGCCCATTCTACATTCAAGTGATGAGATCACTCATTGAGTGCAGAGATCACATATCCGCCGGAGTTTTAAATGGTTGACCAAAGGGAAATCCTGTTTGTCGAATTCTATACTACACTATACTGTGGTATCGCATGTCATCCAAAGTATTAATAAAAGTTGGTACAGCCCACCAACATCATTTATGTGCAATGCCAAAAGATCCACTTCATTATAGCTAGAAATTGTCGTTATCAGTACTATGAGAGCCACGAGGATGGCAGACAGCTCACATGTTAATATCTTGATACAAACAACAGAGTCAAATGTAATATTTGACAGGCAAATCCAGATTTGCAGTTTTGACTAAAAAAAAATGTTTCGAACAGTATACATGTAATTTCAGCAATGGTAATTGTCTAGCTATAGGGATAGACACCCTCGAAAAATGAATAAACCAATTCAATAGATATAAATAAAATCCACAAATTCACATCACAACAAAAAGCAGTCTAGACCCCCACCTAACAAGCACTCCATGGCCTGTTTAGGAGTGTTGATCAGGTTAAGGTCCAAATCACTTATCGCCATGGATGGAAGAGTTTTGGTACCTCTGTAACCCCTGATAGAGATTATACAAGTTCTGAGTAAATCAAAACGCAGTCTGCGTCTGACAAATGATATCACATCACAATACCGTTGGCCTTTCTTAATGCTGATCTTTTCAGCGAGATGTTTAAGGAACTGTGAAGCCTCAGTTGCCATTCTTCCTGTAGTACTGAACACCAGTGGTGTGAAGGTAGCCTTTTCCACATTGAGGACTCTGTCGTTGTACTCACGTTTTTTGTTTTTCTCGTGAGATTGGTACATCTGTGAGATGTTCTTGTCACTGTTGGACTGGGCTTGAGGGTGAAGTACCCTTACATCTGTGAATGCCCTGACCAGCAGCGACCAGAACGATCTCGCACTGATGTCCAGTCTTGCACCATCCTGCCTATTTGTTCCATTAGATAGTTCAAGTGTGTGAGGAACCGAGAGGAGCCGGGGTTCTGTTTTCTTTGCAAACAGTGGTTAGGAGTTCAGCTATTGTATCTCTAAGTGAATTGTGTCTAAGTGAAACGATGCCTCCGATTTTGCAGGTTAGAGTATGGTTGATATGATTTTGATTTCCACATACACATAGGGGACTTCTGTTAGCTGTAGACAGTGTAAGATTATATCTGAGTGAGAGGGCATCAAAGAATTCTTGTTTGTTGAGGACGACGTACCCACATGTTTTTAGAGGGAGTGTGGATAACCAAATGGATGCTCCTTTTTCAATGAAACAAGAAATTCAATGAAACAAGAAATTTAATTTTAGCACATTGTTACAGAATAAAAGGATGTGAAACAATTCATAAAATATAATGCCCTTTGGGTGTATGACTTTTTGTCCTTGACTGCTTGTTTGGTTTTGGAAGGACAGGTAACTAACGGGGCATTATTATTAAATCTAAAATAGCTAATAATTTAATAAATTATTAGCAGGCCCCTTAACGTGGGCAATAATATATGCTTTATAAATTATATAAACAAATTGAAGTCTATTTTTCAATGTTGTTAAGTGTCTCTTTCGATCTGTTTTGGTCTTTCGTGGGAGTTCCCACATTTGTTGGTTGAGAATGCTCAACATAACATACATGGGCAAGGAATGTGCGTGCCTGGAAGCTTTTGCACACACCGAAACGCTAGTTCAGTTAAGTTTTCACTAAGGAGATCTATTTGCCTTTGTGTTGATGGGGATACCCATTCATAATAGTTTCACGTTGGTGTTTGTAAATCTCTTCCTTGCCCTTCTTTACTTCACTTATGATGCCATGCTGCAGTTCTTCGTTTAGTTAGAAAGTAGTAAGTAAGTAAGTAAGTAAGTAAGTAAAGATTATGACATAACATCATCACAAGTGTCTACAAAATATCATTGCACTAAATAAAAAAATAATTTAAATAAATATATTTTTCCATCAACATTAATAATTTATCAAATTCAATTTTATTAATTAATAAAATCTAATACATTATCTATAAATAATTCATTAATACTTCCCAGTGGAATAAAGATTTATGAAACGCTTCTTTGCCACAAAAGGATGAAACCAAAGATATTCATTATGTGTCTCCTTATTGCTTAAATAACTGGGTTCTTCAATTTTCCCTAAAACTTCATTCGAAACATTCCAAAAATAAAAATCATTTACACTGTTTTTAGAAATCATTTCTTTCTTAAATCCTTCCAATCTAACTTTAAAGCTTAAAACTGTCGAGCAGTTCTTGACATCTGAAGGGAGTTTGTTCCAGTAAGGAATGACTCGCTCCGGAAGAAAAGAAGACTGGAGATTCTTAACTTTAGTTACACTCTTATTACACCTATTGGTTGAAACTAGATTAAGACCAGATCTGCTCATTCTGAACAAACCCGATCCATATTCAGTCAAACCACTAGTTACTTTAAAAGCTTCGATAAGGTCCCCACGTATTCGCCGCTCTGCCAGCGTTGTCAAATTGAGGATATCCAGTCTGCAGCTGTATGGAAGAGTACCCACCTCATCAATAAGACGGGTAAACCGCCTCTGGACGCTCTCCAGCTCCAAAACAGTCCCCCAACTTCCATGAGCCGCAACTGGATTCCACAATTGGACACAATACTCAAGATGAGGTCTTATCAAAGCTTTATAAATAGCTATCATTACAACCTTTTCTCTAATAACTAAGTTCCTTACAATCCAGCAGATCATACGATTTGCTTTAGAAATACATGCTTTTATCTGTTCATTCCAAAGCAAGGAGCTATGGGTAATAACCCCCAAATCTTTTTCCTGTGCAGATACTTCTAGTTCTACTCTATTTACAATATAATTCGAGTTAGGATTATTATTTATAGTAAACTGTTGAAAAACTGCTTCTGTGAGCTGTTTTGTAGCTGTTTTGTAGCATTTACTGAGCATTTCATCTCTGCTGTTGATGTGCAGTATGGTTGTACGGCAAACAAAATTCCATCTTTTGGACGTTCCTTAGATGAAAGTGGAGTAGGCTAGCTAAGGTTCGTTTGCAGCTATATCGACGAGTCCTAGAACGTCTGCTTTCCAACTTTCTGTCTCCTTTAATATAAACTCTTTTACCCCTTCTTCTGAACCAATATATGACCCAAGATAACTTGGGACATAAAAATTAGTATACAAATTATTCAAACAATACACACATAATGTCACAATGATCCTATTTTATATTTAAAAAACGACCCTTCTTAACTCGATATATTCCCTATCTCAAATATTGGGAGAAACATTTGAAAATCATCCTTGGCTTTGTGGCTCCAAGTTCAAATTTAGACTATCTATAATAACAAAGTCCTTTCTCGCACCTCAACTGATACTAAAAATTCATAGTACCATCGATTATTAACAAACGACAATAAAATCCAGTTAAAAAATATGAAATAAAAAGATTTTTAATCGTAATGTTTCCAATTCAACTGCTAATTCTTACGTATTACGTGCAATTATTTTACAATTTGAACACTAACAAATATTAAATTGCAACGGGACGAAAATATTTCGATTTTTTGCGATTATTTATGATTTGATTTGATGCATAAGTAATTTTTTTCGAAAAATACGATGTTTAATAATACAAATGTGTAAACCCAGAAAACTCCACTGGTAGGGTATATCAAAAAGTAAAACAGATACCGACCTCCGGTTTTCAGCAAAATGGTCGTCTTATAAAACTTATGTTCAAAGTTAGCTCCCTAGTCGCAGACACCTCAGTTAAGAAAAGACAATTTTTTTTCAGTTAAGCAACCCTGTTTGCGACTGGAGAGCTAAAAGACATATGATCTTCATACAAAAATGCTTGTTTTTGGCCTTTAAGCCTTATATCCCTGCAGTTTCTTTTCGTTTAAATCGTAAATTCGCGCGCAAAAATTTCACCGGCGCGCCTTCCATTAATGATGCATTAGACACATACATTATAAGCATCGAGTGTGTTTAACGGATGGTCACTTGCGCCGCGCGAAATATGAATAGCATAGCGATCAATTATGTGTCAACACTGAACACTTACAATTTAATATTATATTGTGTTGTAAGATTTTTTTGTATAATGAGCCAATTTATGTTTTAAATTGATGAGTAATAATAGTTTTTGTTTTTGTTATTGACAAATACGCGTTCAATTCAATGTTGTGTGTTGATAAATATGGTAGTAATATGGTTTTAAATATATGACACAAGTATCATTCTTACATTACATTAGAATTATATAAATATATAATTCTGGTTTTGCATCAAAAAGGAAGTAACATATGTTTTTTCTGCAATCATATTTAGGTTACAAATCACTAAACTGTAAACTGAAAACACAAAGCCACGCGCCGATTTGTACGGCATTTTGTCATTATAACAACCTTTTAAATACCATAAATTATACCCAGTTCATAACTTTTGTGAAATAATGATTCGATATTATATTAACTGCAAGTATCATTCGTTAAATTTTAGTCGAAGATTGGTTTTTTATTTTAAGATGTGCGCGTGTTTTGCTTGATTTTACAATCTGCAATCTTGGAATATCCTCCGCATAACTTCGGCTTGGAATTTACAAAAGTGTGTTGCTTGCTGTATAGTAGCAACGAATTTAAAACCTGTTTTGTCAAACAAAAATTTGATTAAATTCATTTTAACTGCGTTTGTTGTTTTTCAATAATTATTTCTATTGACTTGACAAGTCAAAACGTTAGTTTAATATCGGTTTTATGAAAATTTTCAAGTATTGCTACAGGGCCTTTGGAATGACTTTAGATGGTGCAAATTTAAACTATTGCCAGGAACTTCATGTGTTTGGTCAGTTTGGAATGTCAAATTTAAAGTCTTTGCAGCTTCCCTATTTTGATCGTTTTTTGCTCATTAACGTTCAATGACTAAAATCCAGATAAAACGGATTTTAATTTATATTTCATTAGTAAAACAGAGTAATAGTCTGTCGAAAGACTGTTACTCATTGCAATAAAGTTGTAATTCTACTAACGTGTACAAATGGCTCTGTTCTGTAATTTTATTATCTTCAGACCTTGTATGTGTGCAGCTGGTTATGAAAAGTTGAGAACCGTTTGGTTTTGATTTAATTTACAGGATCAACTCTATTTTAGGATTCAAATTCATTCATGCCCTTGTTAACTACATTTAATAAAGATCAATGTGGCAAGAAAACTTAAGTGCTTTTAATTTACTGTAAAACCAATAAATCTTCAATTAGAATGAACACCAGACCGGCACTTCACACGGTGAAAGACAACCTTGGCATTCATCAGCAGATAACATGCATCAGCAGATAACCCTTACTCTTCAGATTATTTGATAATCATGAGGTATTTACTAATCACTTATAACTTATAATTATAATTCGTAAGTTCGTTTATACTTCGATCTATGAAAAGCTCTGTTACTACTTTCATAAAAATTTGCTTTTAAACCTTACTTAAAGTTGGCACATGATATCATAAATATTGGTTAATTTGTAATTTAACATAAACATAATCTATAGCTATCTGTAATTCTGTATTTAATCCAATATAGTCTTTACAAACTTAAATTCTTGGAAAATGTTGGCATCAGGGAAATGTCAATAAATTAAACTTTTAAGAACAGAGCGCTTTAACAGAGTCAATGAGAACTTATGATAGCTTCATTGATCCAGCTGATCTGCAATACTAATGGACATTTTTTCAGAATGAATACCGACAGGTTTTGCCTTGGAACACTCCTTCATGTGACTTACCTGTTGTTGTAGGTTAGTACTTAGTAATTTTTTGAAATTGCAACTGTACAGTTCATTAGCAGTGTATGTTATGTCGAAAGTTAGTTATTTTTGGTAACTGGAAACAACACAGCAATAGCAGCAAATCTGGGGAAACTTAGTGGACATTGGCTAACTTGTCCAGACTTGCCTTAAATTTTGACAGTGAACCTTGTGATCTCTATCAGTGGTTAATCTTTAGTGGTAATGCCATGAATTTTACAATATATGCAGATAAATAGTTTATTTTTGGTGGTTAACAATTGGTTAAGATAACACTAATGTGCTAAAAACAGCAGTTAATGTGCGAAAACGTGTATGAAACACCTATGGAATCATATTTTAACATTTGAAATAGCCTATTATACCCCATCATACTTAAGCTTGCACCTGCACAGTGGGCACAAGCCCCAAATAACATAGCTTTAGCCGATAAATTGGTAAAAAATCTGCAATTTAAAAAAAATGCCCAAGATGATTTTTTTGTATATTGTAGGGAATACTCTAGGCTTTTAGATGGAGTTATGGAATAGGGCGGCAAATGCCGGCAACACAACTATATTTGGGCTGGAAGGCCAAAAATTTGCCTAAAAATGGGGCAAAAACTCAGGTTCATGTCAAAAATCAGCTAAATTATAGATAGCCTATTAAGGTTTTTTCAAATAAATTAAGATTTGAGAGTTGTTTGGAGATATGAAAGGAGTCAACTTATTATATTATCTCATTTGTGTAACAGACATAGAGTAAGAGCTATTTTTCGCTGCCAAAAAGCCAAAAAATTGGTTTGCGAAAAATCGCAAATTTCGCGGCCGCGTAGCGGTTAAACCATTAACATAAGGAATTTTTAATTTTGGTTTTTTTGCATTTTGTAGGGAACCAGTTTTCCTATCAGATAATTTTAAATGCATCTTAAACTGACAAACTCAATTTTGAGCCTAATATAGCCTGGTATCAATTATTATGGCGTACGGAAGTGGCTGTTTTAGTGGTTTATTTGATTGCTATAGCTATACCATAGTCATATCAGCTTCATAATTGATTATTACTGTAAGTTCTAAGGTGTCGATAATTGGTGGTTAATATTGATCAAAACCGACCATTTGTTAACAATTAGTCACATATTTTATTCAATTTATTGTAATTCGTGTACCAAATATGTGGTTAAGATACCATATATGTGCTGAAAACAGCGGTTAAATTGGTTTGAAACGTGCAATTACCCACATATATGAAACCACGTATCTACATTTGATACGTATCTAGTATCCTCCCTTAACAATTATTCTGACGTACTGAGTTGAATTTCAGAGCTTAATCATCGCTTGAATGACTTAAATGTACATCTTTGTTGGGTATATTTTAATGTCGAAGCGTGTAATAAATGTTAGAATTTATTTATTTATTTATTAAAATATGGCTATTTAGGTGGTTTATCTATCTGTATACTCACATGTCAAGATACGAGCTTCATTATTCATTTGTACTGATACTAATGAAGTGCTGTAAAATGGTGGTTAATAATGATCCAGAGAGATATTATTCTATCATTTATGTAGAATGTAGATCATTGTTTAATAAGTCTGAATGGATGTACAAAATATTGTAAATTTGCAGCCGTCTCACATGTCACTATAAAGTGCTTGTCACTATATAGTCCTGTTCCTATATAGTGCAGCAATCCTCAAATTTATCTAACCATCTCATTATAGCTTGTTGTGCTCTCTATAGTACTGTCATCTTTACCCAGCTGCCACTGCACCAGCACGTTATAATTGTAGTAACCTCTGAATGGTACCCTCTGCTTGTTGGTAATTGTACGAGATACTAGTCAAAAGCTATACTCGGGAAAATGTAAAATCAGCTATTATCTAATCTTTCTGCTTCGCCTAGCTCATGCTGTAAACGTATTTGTGTACTATCTTACTATATATAATATGACATATGTCAATAGAATGTAGTAAGTAAGATTTAGGTCTTCATTGTCTTAAAGTTAAGGCACTGCCCAGTGCCCAGTGTTTAGTTGTTTTCCCAGGTTCGTCCTTGTTGGCAATCTTACATCTACAAGGTTTAACTTATATTGTGGTTGTGCACTTTACTTTGTCTTTAGTATCTTTGAACAACAGTTCATCAAAATAATCAAGGGGGGGGGGGGGGGGGGGGGGGGTCCAACTACATTTTTGTACGTGGCCACCAGATTTTTGCCAAATGTACATTGTACATGTACAAAAATGTACAAAAATGTACAAAATATGTTTTTTCCTGTTTGGAAGTTCCCTGGATAGATTACTTGCTGTGGCTAATTTACAATGACAGGTACATCACATGGGAATGTATTTGATTACTTTAACACCTTTTCTGCTGTTCTTGACTGGTGGTTTTCAAGTAAACCAGAATGCCAGAAGTTATCTTACCTAGTTAGTAGAGTATTAGATTTAAAAGATATGCGACACTTTTAAAGGTTGCGATATATAATTATTTATGTAATATAATACTTATATGTACTTATGCAGGCATGTAATTGGTAGAATATTGTAATGTTTGATATAACTACATAACAGTACCTGTGTTTACAATCATTGTTGATAAAATGATATATTGTATAAATGTACCTGTTAACATTCAGATGAACTATTATTTTGTACAGTGCAGTGTTTGACTGAATTGTCAAACACTGTTTTGGTTCATACACATGCCACACACACAGTACACAGTACACACACACCTATTGCTTATTTGTTAGTATTAACTGCACATGACTACAGCCTTTATATATAATTGAGGGATGAAGTCCTTAGTTTATCCTGAACACATTTGCTTAATTGTTGCAGCTCTTAGTACCCTAGCTACTTATTACCCTAGCTACTTAGTACCCTAGCTACTTAGTACCCTAGCTACTTAGTACCCTAGCTACTTATTACCCTAGCTACTTAGTACCCTAGCTACTTAGTACCCTAGCTACTTAGTACCCTAGCTACTTATTACCCTATCTACTTATTACCCTAGCTACTTATTACCCTAGCTACTTAGCACCCTAGCTACTTAGTACCCTAGCTACTTAGTACCCTAGCTACTTAGTACCCTAGCTACTTAGTACCCTAGCTACTTATTACCCTAGCTACTTAGTACCCTAGCTACTTAGTACCCTAGCTACTTAGTACCCTAGCTACTTAGTACCCTAGCTACTTAGTACCCTAGCTACTTGATACCCTAGCTACTTGATACCCTAGCTACTTAGTACCCTAGCTACTTATTACCCTAGCTACTTATTACCCTATCTACTTAGTACCCTAGCTACTTGATACCCTAGCTACTTAGTACCCTAGCTACTTAGTACCCTAGCTACTTATTACCCTATCTACTTAGTATTCTAGCTACTTGATACCCTAGCTACTTAGTACCCTAGCTACTTAGTACCCTAGCTACTTAGTACCCTAGCTACTTAGTACCCTAGCTACTTATTACCCTAGCTACTTATTACCCTATCTACTTAGTACCCTAGCTACTTATTACCCTAGCTACTTATTACCCTAGCTACTTAGTACCCTAGCTACTTATTACCCTATCTACTTAGTATTCTAGCTACTTGATACCCTAGCTACTTATTACCCTAGCTACTTGATACCCTAGCTACTTAGTACCCTAGCTACTTAGTACCCTAGCTACTTATTACCCTATCTACTTAGTATTCTAGCTACTTGATACCCTAGCTACTTAGTACCCTAGCTACTTGATACCCTAGCTACTTAGTACCCTAGCTACTTATTACCCTAGCTACTTATTACCCTATCTACTTAGTACCCTAGCTACTTGATACCCTAGCTACTTAGTACCCTAGCTACTTGATACCCTAGCTACTTATTACCCTATCTACTTAGTATTCTAGCTACTTGATACCCTAGCTACTTAGTACCCTAGCTACTTGATACCCTAGCTACTTATTACCCTATCTACTTAGTATTCTAGCTACTTGATACCCTAGCTACTTAGTACCCTAGCTACTTGATACCCTAGCTACTTATTACCCTATCTACTTAGTATTCTAGCTACTTGATACCCTAGCTACTTAGTACCCTAGCTACTTGATACCCTAGCTACTTATTACCCTATCTACTTAGTATTCTAGCTACTTGATACCCTAGCTACTTATTACCCTAGCTACTTAGTATTCTAGCTACTTGATACCCTAGCTACTTAGTACCCTAGCTACTTGATACCCTAGCTACTTAGTACCCTAGCTACTTAGTACCCTAGCTACTTGATACCCTAGCTACTTAGTACCCTAGCTACTTAGTATTCTAGCTACTTGATACCCTATCTACTTAGTACCCTAGCTACTTATTACCCTAGCTACTTATTACCCTAGCTACTTAGTATTCTAGCTACTTGATACCCTAGCTACTTAGCACCCTAGCCATTACTTTAAAAAAGCCCGGTTATATTGCCATTGCTTGTAAGATACCATTTGCCATGATTTTATGTTGACCCTCGAATTAAAGCTCACAATTTAACCGCCCCTATTTCAGGATGTGTATATCAATTACCAGACAGAACTATTTTAAATTTTTATGTTAAATAATATATCTTCGTTTAAAACTGTTTAAAAACTGAGAGTGGACAATGGTAATATCTTTGAATTGTTTCATAACACCACTATATACTAGGTATACTTGTAGGGCCACGTATCCTGCAATGTATGTAAATTATATTTCTAGAAGGTTCTGTTGTTATAATATTTTTCATCTTTTTTTATATGTATACGTCAGTAGTAGAAAGGTGGTTTCCTTCTCCTGAGAACAGTAGTGCACCAAATACCAATTCTCCTCGAAACAGTAAAGCATTTAAAGTAATTCAGTGAACCGTTTTCTTATCCTGTTGATAACTTGGAGCAACAGATTCCTTATCCTGAAGACAATGTTTCACGCCCAGAACACTTACGGAATTCAAATGAGTGCCCTGCCGGTATTTTTGACTCTTGTTAACAGTAACATGCTCGTTCCCGTCTCCAGAATGATTATAAGGTAAAATGCCTGCACCCTCAAGAGAACAATGTCAATAACCTTCTTTGGATTTCAACAGTTCTACAGTTCCATAGGTATACAAATGTAAATAAACCTCTTAAGCTCAGTCAGCCTGTTTGAAATTTTGTTTCTTGTCTCTATCATGGACAACTTGGGTGTTTTCTTAGTGCTTCTACTTGTGAAGAAACCAAAGGTTGAGTTCTTCTCTAACCAGCTTTACCCTTTTGAAGTAGTGAGATTAACTATAGAACGACCTAAAATGAAGCGGTTTATAACGCGCAAAAATTGTGAACGTGCCTTTGTGATATATTTAGGAAGAAATTCGGATTTGGCGGGATAATCACGGACCTTGCATACGATGTATTTCCCGCCCTAAAGAATATACTAGAAGTTCTGGGAGAGTTTTCTACATGTTTGTCAGTCACAATTGTCTTTCTGCCGAACGGAAAAAAAATTGTAAGCAATTCTTCCGCTGGCGCCTAGCAACCACGCGCAATATAACCGAGCCGCGCGCAATAATTGATATCATATTGATGTAATTAATAATTTTAGCGTATCCAAGCTTCCAAAATCGACCATAACTTGACTTCAGATGATAAATTTACTAATTCATTAATATCATTCTAGAGGTAATCGTTTAAACTTCAATTCAGTTTCAAATTTTAGTCCGAAAGAAGGTAAATTTTGTCTAAAATCGCCACTAAAGAGACAAATTCGGATTTATGAATATAAAATAAACATATTGGCAGAACTTTCGAAGTCTTCAGCATTCTCTCTGGTATTGAACTGTTCAATTTCTCAGGTTTATACAACCCCCGGAAGTACAGACAACAAAGCAGACATAATCTGGAATATCGATAACCTCTAAAGCTCTAAGAGGACCCAAAATGAAAGCAACTCCTGGAGGCTGGGATTATGAAAGATTTTCACGAAACTCACGCCAGCTGCTTCACACATTGAAAATTATGAGAGGCTGGTGGATTGAAGTGTAGTCAAACAGTCTTTTTCAACAGTAAGTCAAGTTTAGCAGTTTGAGATGCACTTATAGATTTTCTTTCCCTACTGCACTCGCCACTCAAGTCTCAGATTTGATTTTACTCAACCGTATTATTATTTAGTTCCTTTCATTAAAATCTGTTTCAGATGTGGACAGTCATGCCCACTGGACAACTAAAAAGTGCTCCTTCGTTACCCTCCTTCTCCAAACACTACATGTCAATAGTCCCAACAAAAAGTTATAAAACAAGCAGTCTTGACCTTCCTTTTCCACCATGACAGGCAGAATTAATATAGCTATCAAGTATTAGTAACTGCTAAAGAGGGATTGTCGTTGAGAGAGGCACTTAAAGGCACACCAAGTTTTACAACAGATAGAAACATAATCCTTGGCAAACTGGGCCCAGCCCAAAACGGACCAAATCAGACTGATAAAAACTGCTCATATCTGCAGCTATAGCAGCAATTTAAAATCTATGCTATAGCTGATAGCGACGACTCCGAACTGAATACTAATCGATGCATATGCAATACTGCTCACGTCTGTTACTTGTATTTAAAAATAATCAGAGACAGACATTGTTATTTCTATTAAATTGTAGTATAATGATGCTTTGCGTATAGCTGCTTTGCCATTTCTAATTATGAATTTCATCCTAGAGTAAAACTTTTAATATAATTAACTAATCAATATTAACCTAACACTGTCACTAGAGAAGCTTTTTGATGAAAATAGTAAACAACTTGTTTCAGTTCAAACTAAATAAAGGTCAGACCGGGATTCGAACCCTCAGCTAGCACGGTCAATCGCCCTCTTAGCCAACTAGGCTATCGTGCCGGATGCCGAAAATCAATATTAACTATCATATTGTCGTGCTCGCGCATTCCCTACGCAAAGTTATTCTACTACGATGTATATTTTTAGCCATTTTGGGGCTATTGCGCGGCGCGGAAGCTTTAAACCGTCATAACTCTGTCCAGGAACAGTCTCCAGAACTGATTAAACTTGTGATCTCTTAGTCAGAGGATGTACTTTACGAAGATATATGATTTGTCATACCTGCGTCCACACAGTGGAATCACAAATGGGTATAGTCGCGAACGCAAAGAAACCGCAGGGATTAATTGGGTACTTATATTAATTGGGTACTTCATCATGTATTCAGATTTGGAGGACTTCGCCGCTTCGCTGCGCCGCGCAAACTTATACATAAAATTGAATTTTAGACAGAAATGTGAATATATTAAAATTTAAAACTTTCAAAACGGAGGCTTATAAACATAATTATATTTTGACATACGTTGCATGCCACTTTTCGCGCGCGAAGCATGTATCAAATTATATTATGATTGTTTACCTGGAGACCTCAGGCTATTATGTTCATAAACATAGCCTGACAAATTAAAACCCTCTCAAACGCGCAATGCTCTCAAACAGGCGCGTTTCTGCGCCTGGAGTGCTTGGCGCGCACGTGATGTGCTTAGTAATATTATAATCTCATTTTGGTAGACCTTATGGACGTTATGAAGGCACTTTGTGACAGAGTATGGGCTTAATATCAGTGTTTAGTTGTCAGTAGAGTTATAAGTAAAATACAATTTTAAGTAAAATACAATTTTTATTTTCCACAGAAGAATCAATACATATTGAATTATAAATATCCGATAATTCCATTAATAATCATTAAAAGTTGCTTTGTCATTTGTAAAATCAAAAACGAAAAGCCGTACGCTGAACTGTGAACGCGCGCGGCGTTTTCTCTGCAGCTGCCTAGCTTCAAGCTTGTAGCCGCTAACATCAAAGCCGCCGCGCGCGGCCAGTGCTGGGGTGCATTCTCATTAACAATTAAACTTGGTCAAAGATAGTTATATACAATTCCTAAATTAAATCAATAATCATGTTTATATGAGTATTCAACACTACTCGACAACAAATATTTGCCGGCCCATCAACGATTCAGTCGCCGAAACAAAAATCAAATGTTTGCTTTTTCTTTTCGGGGACTGTTTGAACTCAGTACTATATCCGACTAATCATACTTTATAATGGTTGAAATACAAAGTAAAAAGATTTTCCTCGATGGGCCGGCATTTGCAACCGCGAAACGTTTTGAGTACGACAAACGATGACACCACCACCAGCCGTTAATTAATAAGTCCATGGGTGACGGGATAAAGTTAAAGTAAGATGTGTAATTTCATATTGCCTATCACCTATCACCAAAGTTACTTTACATATACTGCTTCTAGTTACACGATAGCGATCTCAGTTTCCCAATAACGTGTGACCCAACAGAAGGGATTGTGGAAGGACACGTACATTTTTCATTAACACGTGCCCTGATTACCCCCTCCGTTGAGCTACTATACGGGGAACGTTTACTGTTTACCGCCAGTCTGTATAGTAGTCAGATCGTTAATAAATTTTACTTTAAAATTGGTTGCCGGGTGATGGTGTCAGTGAGAGACGTTAAGTTAAGTGAACATTGGTACAAAAATATAATAATATAGCAGTTTATCTCAAAGTTAAAATCACTATTTGTTAAAGTTTACAAACAGTTCTACTCAAAAGAACAAAGTCCGAGAGCAGAGATAAGAGAAGATTTGGAGACTATACACGCATATGTGGGGTTTAAATTTGGTATTAGTAATTTTAGGGTTCGACCGAAAATGTTGGTCGGTTGGTTAATAGGGAGCAGTCACTGTCATATACGTAAACACCAAACGTTTTACTTCTTTTATAATAGTCATACAAGTAGTGACTTGGGCCAATTTGATTATATTTTATAATTGAGTTTAAACAGGGTATTTACTTATTACTGTTCGCCAATCGCCATAGGGCAGACAAGGAACAGAAACACAAAAATCACGGATATTCACCCTCGCTCCGATCTTCTGCACCCTGAACAAACTGTCCTTAGCTTATAGTTTTACCATTGCAACAAGACATAGGCAAAAATATAGCCTAGCACTCCACAGCAAAAACGCGATCAATGGACAATGCTATGTAATTCTGCAATATCTATCAATTTTGTTAGAATAGAGATTCGGCGGAATGACAGGCTGAGCGCGGCCCAGTAATATGATTGTAAAATAAAGGATAAAATTTTAAATTTGTTCCACTAAAAATTTGTTTCAATAATGACTAACTAGTTGCAAAGTTGAAAGTAAAAATCGTGTATTTTTTGTAAACTGTTTAGTGTAAATTAATTTACTACATATTAATTTATTACTTGTACACTTGTATCACGTTGCGACCACCACGGTCGTTTCACTATTTATCGTTTCACTATTTATCGTCCTGACGATACAGGGGGAGCCGCGCACTTCGTGCGCGGCGGGTCATACAACGTATGACAATTGTACACATATCACAAATTATTTTATTTTAATAAAACCACTTTTGTGAAATAGCTATTTTGACTTTCAATATTTGAACAAAATATGAATTGATTTTGGGAATAAAATAAATTTTGATTTATAAAAATTTTGGTTTTTATGCAAATTGGTTATTTCACATAGCCAAGAGTCTACGTGTACTGCGTGACGCGCTTGTTTCACAAGTAAGATCCTGTGCTGCCTTCAGTGGTTGCGCTCGTTTCATCCACAACATAGTAGACAGAACTATGGACTTGATTCCCTTCTATAAGAAGTCCCACATACTCCCTATAGACCAGCGAATCTTCTTTAAAGTTTGTCTATTAACCCAAAAATTGGTCCACGGTACTTAACTGCACCTGGTCACCTCAAAGCATTACTGGATGTGGATGTAGTGGATACAGAATTTCCAAACACCGTTTTGGGTGATAATGTCACTGTACTATCCTTCATTATACCTACTGTATGTATATATCCTGTCATCACTCCTGGAGTAATGGATATTATATGTTTATTTCAATAAATATAATAATCAATAAATTAAAATAGAATCTTGTCTTCTTTTCAGCTCACTCTGCTGAAACCACTTAGAATTAGAATTAGAATTAGAATCAAATTTACACAGCAATACAATAAGAATAAAAAATAATTTAAGAAGCTTCAATCTGCTGTGCAGGACATTCAAGTCAGTCAAAAACTGTTAGCAGAACACCCTTCTAGGGACATAAGGATATAGCATGTAAATTGTAAAACAAAATAAGCAATACATTAATGAGTGGTAAAATAAGATATGATTTAACAGTGAACTGTGGGCATGAAGGTAACAATTAATGTTGAAAATTACATAGATGCCCACTTTGGAATTTCGTAAGTAATATTATTTACAGTTATACACAGAGAAGTATAGAACAACATTAGAATGGCAATGATAACAAATGGGAACGAATAAAGGAGATGTTTAAAGTTCTATACTTCTGAAAATAGGTCATATAACGCAGGGGGCCTTTCCACCCGACAAAAACTCCAGCACCTTAAAAATTGTTTCAGTTGTCACATAGCTAGAGTGTAGAAATAGTCGAAACTATTGTTTATTTCATAGGATGAGACTCCTTGAATTACATCTGACATAAATTTAGATTTCATACATTGTGAGAAATTTACACTACATTCTATAGTCCTTATGTTCTCTGGAATTGTATTCCAACATTTTGCACCTAAATATGTAAAGGTTTTGTGTGTTCTGGATTTGTGAATATAAAGGTTGCACCTCTCAGCATCACGTGATCCTCCGGATACATAAGAAAATTTACCGGTGAATGATGATGGTGCAGCCTCATTAAGAATTTTATACATATACGTTGATAGATGGAGTTGTCGTCTTAAGTGTAAGGGTAACCACTTCATATTTCGATATACATTTACTGATGGTTCCTGCCAATGAACATCCAGTGCAATTTTTGCTACTTTCTTGTATAATATATCAAGAGAATTAAGTCTGGTTTTGGCAGCCCTAGACCATATTATATCCAGGTAGTCAAATTGGGGGAGCATAAGAGCATTTACAAACATTTTTCTATATTTCAGTGGAAGAAGATTTTTCGACCTGTATAATGCCCCTATTCTTTTAGCAATTTTTGATTTCACATAATCAATATGGTCTTGAAAGTTCAATAAATTGTCTATCATGAGACCTAAATATTTTTGAGATTTAGTTTCTTCTATAAAAAGGCATTCTTTTTCCAAATCCAGAGGGATTGACAACGTGTCCAGATTAGGATATCTATCAAATACAATGAATGAAGATTTTGCAGCATTTAGTCTCAGCTTGTTGATTCTAAGCCATTCATACACAATTTTCATATCCTTAATTACATTTTCATATATGCTTCGGGAAATGTTATCAAAATATAGTGCACTGTCATCTGCAAATAAGTAAACAGTAGATTGTGTGCAATTTCTACTGAGATCATTTATGAATAAACTAAATAGAATTGGTCCTAATATGCTACCCTGTGGCACACCTGTTTTAACAGGGAGTGATGTGCTTACATTACCACGTATTTTGGTGTGCTGCTTTCTGTCCCCAAGGTAGCTTTTGAACCACTTTATGACAAAGCCATCAACTCCATAATACTTAAGTTTTTTCAATAAAATATTATGGCTTACTGTGTCAAAGGCCTTTTTAATATCT